GAATTGGTATAGTTATCTTCAGAATTTGTAGGTTCATTTGAATTGACAGCAGCGGTTGAAACGACGATCACCTTATCATCTTTATCACTCGCATCATCAGGTGCAGCTGTCGAAGTATGTTCTGCTTCAATTGCAGCTGCCATAAAATCGACAAATGTAAATATGTTTTTATTCAAGGTATAAATTCCTGTAGCTCTAAATCCATTTACGGCAATCCAAATTGGCACATCAAATGCACTTAGTGGACGATCATTGCGGCACAACCCGACCCTGATCTTTTTGCTGTAATAAGCCTTAAGAACACCCATGTAAGTTGTGTCCAATGGCAGGAGTTTGTGGGTGCAATGGGGAGGCAAGACAATTATAGTGACATGTTTATCTCTAGCCAAATCTATGACTTCTATATTACGTGTATGACTGTAATCACCATCCTTAATAATCAGGACTGGTGATTTTCCGTTAGTTGCACTGTGTTAATTAAATGTTAAAACCATCTTGTGAAAATATTGCTTTGTATCCATCCACTGGGATGTCCTGCCATAATGGAAACTGGAGGAGATCCTTTCATCAGTTGCTGGTTAATATTTTTACGTGGGAATATCATCATTGGTAAGACAAATTGGCCAGCAGCGCTCATCGATATCACGAAGGCTATCACCGAACCGAAATGAAAAAGTTTTGACACTCACACCAACCGACAAACAATTATTATGAACTGGGCAATATCTACCACTATGGCGCCATCGCTACGGTGATCGCCAAATACCATTTGCAATAGTTAAAATGTAGAGATCTGCAACGAATAGCTGTAAAACCTACCTATAGCCCGTATTACAAGATTAGCCCATATTTGCAGCCTTTCCTCTATCTTAATTAATGGCATGATTAGAAAAAAAAATCAAATCGTTATATGTAGCTGCAGAAAACCCCATACGGTTATTTCTTCCATTTAGTAATATCCGTGAGTCATTTTTTTAAGTACCTATTTTAAGATTCCGTGTAATGGCACTTTTACGACTGTGTTTTTACAGGAGAATTATTGTTTGTTCTATTATAGCATGCGTTTGTTCGAAACTCATTGTTTCGAGGCTGTGCGATAACGTTAATGATAAGACTTGTTTTAATGGTCAATTATTTGTGTACAGACGACTTTATGCTTTAAAGTTATTAGCTACTTAAACGGCTATAATTTATTCATAAATGGATAATTTGTAAATGTTTTAGGTATTCTAAAATAGAATTAGGACAGATACATCTACAAACACTTTATTGACGTAAGAAGAATTTCACAACATGGAATATCGATTTGAGAAATTAAAATTTAAGGAAATATTAAAAAGTTACTTAAATATTTTCACTCTAGTCGTCAGAGACGAAAATGCCACTTCTTCCTCGTCTTCTTCCCTAGCTTTCCCCTCCTCAGGAGCCGCTATTCCTTATTATTCTTCGCCACTCATTTCTGACCTTCGCGTCTTCTTCACCTTAACCTTTCTCTCCAAGTCCTCTGCTACATAGTCTTTCATCTTTTCCTCGATTTTCCTCTATCTATTTTTTCATCAACTTTTAATAGCTCTAGCCTTCGTCCCACATAGTTTCCATCTCTACGTCTAACGTGACCAAACCATTACAGTCTTTGTTCTTGGATCTTTTTGAGGCTGTAGTCACCCCTTTACTTTTAATAATTAAGTTGTTCCTGATCACCTCCCTTCCCATCTTACCCAACATTCTCCATTTTTATTTCAGCTATCTCCATCTTCTTTTCCCAAATTTTCAAACAGATTTTACAGACAAAACTTATCACTGTACACCAATACCGACCTCACCACACTTTTGTACATATTTCCTTTTAGCCCTTCCTAGATTTTTCAAACACAGAATACCCTACTCATTCGCTTCAGTTAACCAACCAGCCAATATCCTGTGGACAATTTCTCGATCCAGAATCCAGAATTTTCTGTTATGTAAGAGCCAAGGTATTTAAATTCTTCAATTCGTCCTAGTTTTTCTCCAAGCAATTTGATGTCAGATGCATATAGTCTGTTTTCGATTTAATAATCTTAAGTCCTCCCTCTTCAATAGCCATTCTTTTCTTCTTCAATTTCTGCTCCAACATTTTTTTCTGTTCTCTACTAACACTCCCTCACTTACCTTCTTTGTCAGTACATCCATAACAAGATTAAACAGGTAGTGATTCAGTGAAAAGCCTTGATGCAAACCAACCATCACTGGAAAATTTTTTTACGAGTTTTACGTACTTCTCAGGAACCCATCTCTTTTCTCTCTCTCTCTCTCTCTCTCTCTCTCTCATACATCTCCATAGCTTTTGTCTAGAAACTGTGTCGTACGCTTTCGCAATATTTATACATACCACATGTAGTTCTCTTAAGTTTTTCTCGATCAACTGTCTCAAAGCACACAAGGCATCCGTTTTCCTCTTTCTTCTTCTTCTTCAGATGCAAATCACTAATGGATGTTAGCGATCACATTTTCCATTAATTCTCTATTTCTTGCAATATGTATCAGAGATTGTATGGACGTTAATCCCCGTCCATTGCCTTATGTTTCGGAGCCAGGACACTTTCTTGCGTCCCATTCCGCTCTTGCCTTCAATTTTACCCTCGATTATAAGTTGGAAGATTTGGTATTTTTCATTTCGCATGATGTGACCTAGATATGCCGTTTTCCTTTTCTTGATGGTTTCGAAAAGTTGGCGTTCTTGGTTTATTCTTTTAAGGACATCTATATCTGTGATTTTCGCTGTCCATGGTATTTTTAGGATACGGCGATAGAGCCACATTTCGAAAGCTTCTAATCTGTTTATATCCCTCGTTTTGAGTGTCCAACCCTCTACGCCATACAGCAGCACTGACCTCACGTAGAACTTAGTAAACCTTAGTCTCAGTTGAAGATCGAACTCTAAACAAGTCAGTATCTTCTTGAATTTTACGAAAGCTTGTCGAGCTTGCTCAAGGCGACATTTTACTTCCCTGTCCGATGCCCAGTCTTCAAAAAAACACGATCCCAGGTATTTAAATTTACTCAATCTTCGTTTTCCTCTTTCTTGGCCCAAAAATAAAATTGTTCTCCTATCGATGTCTCTCTTCTTAACCTTCGCTCTGCAGTTTTCTCAAAAATTTTCATTGTGTGTGACATTTTTGCCCCTCTACAGTTCTTAAAGTCCTGAATGGTTTCTTTATCTTTATACAGTGACACCATCACTCGCATCTCTTCATGCAATGGGCATCCTTTCTTCCTCATAATATATCCTACTCAACGTTAGAAAACGGAGCTTTCAGGTTTATTGGGATTTTCAGCGGTAAAAAGTGTACTCTTTTAACTAGGTTTCAAGCTTTCGAAAATGTTTATTTCATCATCAGGAAAAACTGAAAATAAAATGCTGCTGTTAGTAAAGCATCCTCGAAATCTATTAGAGTGAAAAGGTTGTAAAAAGAGGAAAAAAAAAACGAAAACACTTACATTATTGAGGTTTGTCTTTCGTGGATGTTTTACTCACAGGTGACAAATTCACGCCCCACTCATTGATTGAGTCAATGATTAAAATATATAAAATTTGCATGGTGTAAAAGACCAAACTTGACAAATTGTTCTACTCTAACACATAAGAAAAATACACTTACAAAATTTAAAAAGGCCACGGTGCCGGCCAACTGTAGAATGTTAGAGTAAGTGTCATTCCTGGACATGGCAAATGACAGTACTTCTTCTTATTTCTTTGTCTTATGTAGTACTACTATTACACATCAAAATTTAACAAAGGTTGTGTTTAAGTTGAAAAACAAAATTGTAATGAAAACTATGAGAAATAATGAAACCTGGAAACTTTACAATGAATCAGTTGTTGAAACATCATTGAATTGTGAATGTGTATCCAAATATAATAGGGAGGAGTAAATAGTGCTTAGCTTAGAATTTGTTCATTGCGTTTGAATTTTGAGCAATGAATGTCATTTCTAAGAAAAGTCTTTTTTTGTAATTGGCTTGAGTAGCTAAAATTTTGACTGATTCATAATTCATTATATGATGCTCTTTATTAACATGTTCTGCAAGGGCAGATCTTTCTGGATATAGTCTGCTGTCGCTACGATGACTGATTAAGCGACTACCTAGGTTGCGTGTGGTTTATCCCACATATACCAAATTACAGTTATTGCAAGGGATCTGGTAAACTACGTTGGAACAATCTTTGATGTCACTTTTATCTCTAACTTTAGAATATATAGATCTTGCAGTTAGTGAAGTTTTAAAGGCTATTTTTAAATTCGTCTATTACACTAAAGCGTTCAATTTCGTAAAGAGAAGTAAATAGAAGTCCTAGAGACAACTGTAGAGTGTAAAATGCATCGCAAACGACGCGAGGAAGATCTCTCACAGACAGGATGAATAAAACTAGGGGAATTATTGACCATGGTCTACATGAAGCAAGGGTAGAGATAGTGAAAGCAGTCTTGACCACGGCGCAGTAAACGAAATTTGGTTTAGTCCCCATTTCCATGCGAAACATATTGTACTATGAACTGTATAATTCCTCTTACAAAGAACCATTCTTCCTTTACGTGAATTTTGACTCCGCCTTAGTGCAGCTTCATGTTCAAGAAAGCTTGCACTATCTCTAACACTACGTTAACGACAAGTGAATTATTATATTATATATTATGACGTAGTGAATTATTTTAGAAACAATCTTAGTTAACTGTCAAACACATACAATGTAACTGCAACTTTTGAAGCTGCCGTCATATTTTTTTTCATTTGAAATAATCTCCTTACTTTTATAATAAAATTAAACCTACCTTATATAAAACTATTACCTATTAAATCTTTAAATCATTTTACTGTACAGTTAAAAGAAAGTACAGACTACCTTGAACCTTTATAAAGTATGCATTAACATAAAGAAAGTCATAAAAATCTTTTAAATAAAGTATGTGATGTTATAAGAGGTGTAAATTTCTCGTTACTTAAGAATATATAAAATTTACCTGTTTCGGTTGCGTTAAAGACTAACATTTTAGTGGACTCGGCCATGTCCGAACTGGTATTTATGGCTTCTTGAACTTGACTAGGTCGTAACATTTTACTCGCCATTACATAATGGTATAGTTCATCCAGCTCTTTTAGTGTAACGTCGCAATCGGAATAGAATTCTTCTACTTTCTGTAAAATAAAAAAAATCAGAGAATTTTAACGGGCTTTTATCCACATATTTAGTGGCTCAATACATGTATACCTGCCAGTATACAGATTTTCTGTATACTGGCAGTATATTTTCTATACTATAGAAGATTTTCTGTATACTGGCTCTGGAAAAAGTAATACGTATGAAACAAATCAGAACCGTTGGTTCAATGTATAATAAATCAGTGCAAATCCTTGCTTATTCTGATGATATCAATATTGTTGGGACAACGAAAAACGTTGTAAGAGAGGCGTATTCAGCAATAAAAGAATCAGCTTCACAAATGGGTTTAATAATAAACACCAACAAACCGAAGTGAATGAAAATAAGCACGCAACCACAAATCCTACGACCACTTGTTATATAAAACGACGTCATCGAAGCAATGAACGAATTTATTTACCTGAGACCGCTCCTTAACACTCAAAATAATACTACCTACATATTTTAATGCTAGATGCTGAATATCATCACAGAAACTTAAAACGAACGAAGCATTGCGACAGTGGAACATTGAGAAAACGCAAAATAAGGAAATCCTAGACAATTACGTACAGGAAATGGAACAACATCTAAATAGAATAGACCAGAGCAATGATATCGAAAGGCTGTGGCAACAAATGGAAAAATCAATTATTCAGCAGAACTAATAATAGGAAAAAGAAAGACGAAAACAAGGAAATGCTTTGATAAAGAATGCCAAAAAAAAAACTACAAGACAGACAGAAAAAGCGAAACATTATGCTTCAACAAGAAACAACAGAAAGTAAAGAAAACTATACAACATCACGACGAGAAACAAGAAAACTAATTAGAGAGAAAAAAAGAAAATACGAACAACAGCAGTATGAAGAAATGGAAAGAAATAGACAACAGTCAAATAGACGAGCATTTTACAAATCTGTGTCAAACGAAAAGAGAGGATTCAGACCTAACTGCGTGTCTGTACTGAGGAAAAATAATGATGAATTAATAATCAGCGAACAAGAATTACTCCAAACATGGCAAGAATATTTCAAAAATTGACTTAATATACACCAAGATGAAGAACATGGAGAGGATATATATCTTGGGGTGGACCTACCGGTAGAGTACCCAAAAATAGACGAAACATTGCAAGCAATTAACAAATTGAAGAACGCAAATGCTCCAGGCTCTGACAATATACCAGCCGAATTTCATAAGTACGGAGGAGACACTTTACATAGACAATTACACAAACTAATAACACTTATATGGAACGAAGAGAAAGTACCATCAAAATGGCACGAAAGTGTAATAATTCCTATCCATAAAAAGGGAGACAAAACCAAGGGCTCTAACTATAGAGGCATCTCCCTACTTAATACGGCGTACAAAATCTTATCGAACATGCTATTAGGTAGACTAACACCTTTTGTAGAAAATTTCATAGGGGAATACCAAGCTGGTTTCAGAAAAAATAGATCGACCATAGATCAGATGTTTACTCTCAGGCAGCTGCTTGAAAAAGGATGGGAATTCAATAGAACCATTCATAATCTCTTCATAGATTTCCGACCAGTATACGACAGCATTCAAAAGGATCAGATGTGGAATGCAATGGCAGAACTTTCAGTTCCAAAAAAACTTATCCAGCTCGTTAAAGTTTGTGTAAATGGCTGTAGATCTAGAGTGCGGATAGGTAACAAGCTCTCAGAGTCGTTTGAAATAAACAGTGGACTGAAACAAGGAGACGCGCTGTCACCTCTTCTTTTTAATATAATCCTGGAAAAAGTAGTAAGAACCGCACAAATTAGAACAGAACTACTGACAGTAAATGGACCTAAATTACTACTAGCATACGCGGATGACATTGACATTGTAGGAAATACCGTCACCAATGTAAAAGAACCCTTCAATAAATTATAGAGAGAGGCAAAAAATACCGGTCTAAGGGTCAATGAAGAGAAAACCAAATATATGTGCATTAACAGACAAAAGAGACGAGATAGAATAGGACAAAATGTAACAATAGACCCCTATAACTTTGAAAGAGTGGAGAGTTTTAAATATCTCGGAGCGACTATCACCACAGATAACGATATCACGGAAGAGATAAAAGGGAGAATTCAGGCAGCAAACAGATGTATGTATAGCCTCCACAACACTATTAAATCCAAGAGCCTACCACGAACATCAAAAATCAGGATATATAAAACAGTAATTAGACCGGTGCTCATGTATGCGGTGTGAGACGTGGACGCTGACAAAAGCAATGGAAAGTAAACTCAGATGCTTTGAGAGAAAAATCCTCAGAAAGATCTTCGGTCCCTATCACGATCCGAATACTAACCAATACCGAATGAGAACAAATGCCGAGGTCAAACAAATGTATAGTGCTAGCGACGTAGTCCAAGAGATTAAATCCCAACGTCTAAGATGGGCTGGCCATGTTCATAGGCTCCCTAATAACCGCCTTACCAAGTTAATCTGGGAAGAAGTCCCGACAGGGAGAAGGCCCTTAATACGTCCACGAATGCGATGGAGAGATAATATATGGTCAGATTTGAGAACAATGGGGCTACCCACTGACTTAAACATCATGGACGACCGTTCGAGATGGAAGCAGGTTGTGCAGTCAGCCAAGACCCACCCCGGTTGTAGTGCTACCAGAAGAAGAAGAAGAAGATGCTATTTTGGGCTCAATCTCTTGTCCACAATTAGATCGAGAAATACAAAAATAAAACTCTGCAAAATAATAATACGCCCAGTCCTAACATATGGATCAGAGACCTAAACTTTAACATATTTCGAAAGAAAAGTACTAAGGCTATGGAGCAGTGAATGACAATGTATTGTGGAGAACATGATACATCTTTGAACCTTATAGTATATTGGCGACGTGCAAGTACTTGGATGTGATACGAGAAACGATCGTGCGCGAGTAGCGGAGAAATCTTGCATTTTTTACTGCACATATTCATAGATTTCATAAATTCATATTGTCAATTGGCAAATTGTCATATTTCATATTTGTTTGTTTATTTACACCTTCTGTCACTGAAGAAAATGGGATTTAGTAATTGCTGTGTTATAAATTGTAAAAATACAACAAAAAATTGTTGAAACGTTATTTGGTGATTACTTTCTCGAATACAGTTTTATTATTGCATCCATATTAACAGTAATGCTGTAATTTAATAATATATTTATTTGTATTTACACTACATACAACGTTTACCTTTTAATAACATACCGACATAACCTCGATCTTACTTTTTTTTCTTATTCTTTTTTGGGGCTACGTCTTTGACAGTTATCCGGTAACCTCGATCTAACATGAAAGCGCAGTAAATTTTGCTGATTTACGACACCAGGTGTCGCTCTTCCGAACTTGCATGGTCCCAATACTAGGAACCATATATCGTAAAATATATTAAGATGGGTGGTCTGAATTGGATAGGGCATGTAATGTGGATGGAAAAAAATGACCCATCTAGAAAAACACCCTTCCTAGACTCATTGGTCAGAGAAGAAGAGGAAGACCCAGAATAAGGTACCTTGATAACATCGATGAAGACATGAGAAATATGGGAATGCGTGCTTGAGGAAGGCGATGGATAGGGACAACTGGAGAGAAATTCTTGAGGAGGCTACGACCCACACAGGGTTGTAAAGCCAGAATGTTGATGTTGAGGATTGTGATCGCTATCTATGTCAGCATCTAGTTAAGCGGAAACCTGTTTAATAGTGTCTTGATGTCACCGATTGATTAATATGTAATCTATTTGGTTTCTTAATCCACACTATCTTAATCTCCACGTACATTATGGTCGAGGATAAGATCAAAACTCATTTCTGCTTTTGAAGAGGTTGTATGAAATAAAAACGGTATAATTCGCAAACGACGATATCCTCTTTTGAGGTTAGATTCTTGAAAAAGCTATAAATATAAAATTCTTTAAAGCATTAGTTGACAATACTTTCAATAGAATATTAGTTATTCGTACTTACACATACAAAATACTCTTACATTATCTTACTACATGGGTAATTTCCCATAGAATTCAGCAGTCAATCTTGAATTATCTATGCGTTAGCAAGTATCGTAAGCATTTGTTTTATATTTGGTATTAAAGTTTACTTTACTAAAATAATAAATTGAAAACAATTTAATTCACATCTGTTTTAACCAATAAAAATTCATTTTCCAACTATAACAAATACTCTGACCACCCACATACTACACCTGTTCTATAGTTCATACGATTATAACATTGACAAGAATAATGAGCTACTAATTAATCACACGGTGTAAATAGTGTTTCTTTGATTAGTAGGATGAGTAATCAGATTGCGACTTTGTGGTTGGTGTCTTCTGTATATCAAGTAACTAACTGAATACCTGTTTCAGTCAATAATCTGCGTGGGATAGACATCATTCTGTCGAATGACCTTTCGAAATTATTTACTATTTTTTATACCCACACGTAATTTCGATACCCAAATAAATTTATTTTGAGTGTTTTTTTATTAATTGAATATTTAATATAGTGTCACTTGATTGACATTTTTTAATTATTACGTATTACACTTCTGGGTAAAATGATGACTTGTCGCGCGACGCCTGGCAGCTGTGAAGAATGGTTTAAAAGGAACATAATAATAAACAAAATATTCGTTATTATTTAAGTGTAAATCTTTATATAAAAGATATCAAATTTTTACTACCGAAATTTCTGTTTTGAATAATAATAATAAAAAACATTTTATTAAATTTTTTATTAAAAAATAGTTTAAAAAAGCTTTTTACTTTATAGCTTATAAACATTTATATTAACTTCAATATTTTTTACGAAACTAGCTTATATGTGGGCACAATAAAAAGATTATGAAAAACACACTTTCCAAAAAAACAGAACCTTCTGTGACCAATAGGATCCAAGAT